TTTTTAAATTGATATATAGCATCGCTGAATTAATGTTAAGCATTAATTTTGGAAATTTATATTTCTAAATTAGATTCTCTCTTTCCAAGCATATTTATCAATTAGAAACTTTTTCAATCATTTAATTTCAATGTTTGCCTTACTCTTTCATTAAATTATCAAAATTTAAATTTTAATTATTCAAAAGTAAAAAAAAAACGGAAAAGCTAAACAATTGTTGTTTTTATAAAGAATTTATACATATATAGATATATTTTTCTTTTTGATTTATTTTTAAACGATTAAATCGTTATTGATAAATATTGATTATATTAGACATCAGTAATTAATGCAAGTTTCACATTTTACAGGTTATTACAATAGCCGCAAGGGATAACTGTGATTACCGTGTAACACAACACGTTCATTAATGTTCGATTAGTATCAGTGACCTAACTGCACTGTCACATCGAAAAAAAAAAAATGAATTTTGGGAGAAAAGAAAGGATGTGATTAAAATTTCGGAACATTTGATAAAATGTTGAAAAAAAAAAAAAGAAAATCACTTTCCATTTTTTCTCGATACTTTTACATATTTACCCATCATCAGCCATCAGATTTTACCACATTTTTTTTTTCTTTTCATAGTAATGTTTTATATTTTGCAAATTTAGAATCTGTTTCAAATATATCACAGACAGACACACGTCCACTTATCAGTACAGACGGACAGACCTATTGATACTGTGTATTACAAAAAATTTTATAGAAATGTTTGTTCTGATCATCATAATTTCGTTGATATTCATTAACTGTTTCATGATTTTGTTTGAAGTATGAATATGAAATAAGCAGGACAACATTAACAAAATTAAGGATAACAATAATAACAACAACAATAACAGCAACAGTAATAACATTAGCAATAACAATAAAAGACAACAAAAGTAATAACAATAGTACAATAATAACAACAACAATAACAGCAACAGTAATAACAATAGCAATAACAATAAAAGACAACAAAAGTAATAACAATAGTACAATAATAAACAAACAACCAATAAACAAGACAACAGTAATAACAA